CTAAAGTTATCCGCTAAGAGGATGGGGTGGTTTTTTTTGGTTGTTGTTATTGCTGGGGGGGGAAGTTGTGGGGTTTTTTTCCCCTTCGTTTTACTTCATAAGGAAAGACAGAGTAAATCAGGTTCTACCTCAATAGCAAGACCTTTGAAGAATTGACCCTTATTGTGTTTGCCTGCAGGAGGTGATTCACTATTATAAATTCTTCAATGACTGAGCTTCTGGAAATCTCTTTAAATGAAAGTGGAACTGGTTAACTGTATGTACGAACATGTGTTTTCACAGTCTCTCCTGTATTATTGCATTTCAGAAAGCTTCTATAAAGTGCCAGGTGAACTTTTTAAAATAATGATAATAATAATTAAAAAAATAGAGTCGGAAAAATACAAGCAAATCTCAGCTTTTCAATTCCTACGCTTATGCTGAAAACTAGAAACAGATGGTACTTTCCATGTTACTTGAATCTGGTTATTGAACACCTCTATGGTTACGGGAGATTTTGCTTAGCACTTTTAACATACATTTCATTTATTGGACTATAAAATGCTACTTTGGAAAAACAAGTCTTTATATAGCTATAATTAAAACAGTCTTGCAGGAAAGCCCTTTAACATGGAGAACACGGTTAACCTCATGACATCTGGACAATCAATTCTTTCCTCTTTACTGGGTATTTACGAAGTTATTAAAATTGTAAAATTACTAATGCCCAAAGTGAATTATTTTTCCAGTAGTTCCGAATATGGTTATCAGCTTCCCTACTTTGTTTGATAGATGTTCTAGACCAGCCTCCATTGTGCTACACTAACTCTTGCTTTGCACAGGAATTCAATAGAAGATCTGGTCATACATATTGGCAGAGGTCAGCAGGTTCACACGGAAAGCTTTCCTCGGCCAAAGGGCAACACCTCTTCACCCAGCTCAAAAAGCACCGTCACACTACTAGACAGCACTACAGAACTTTAAGAACCTTGAGCTGTGCTTATTGTTAGACACCCATACTTATCAATGTTTTTAACAGCTAAATCCCTTATGTAGCTTTCAAAACAGTTTGCTGTCAAACAACAATAGACTTTGTTCTTTAATTACAGCAAGTGACCTCCCTGCCCTTTTATTTCACAGTGAATAAACTACACACAAGGCTGGCAAGAAAAGTACATGAAGAGCATATCTCCATAACATCATTAATCAAAGCATGTACTTAAATGATTTACATCATTAGGTAAAATTCACCCAGAGATTCCTGGTGGTGAACAAAACACTCTCAAATCCTAACGCTAAAACACAACAAAGAAAGTGAAGATAAATAATACTAGCCAACATGTTAATTTGCTAAAGACAGCTTTCAAATGTGAAATGCAGTCTTAATGAGAAAGACTAAGCTAAAGAAAGAAAAATTCCATCCTGGAGTATCACTAGATTGATCCATTTAGAACTGTAACTAAACCCTTCTGACTACAGCTTTGTATCTTTGACATTAATTTCACGTAAACATACTGATATTCACATACCAAATAAAGTTTTCCCATATATCAGAGCAAATTATCACTGAATGAATTCCAAAAATCTCCTTGCCATGCACACGAAGCAAATTTTGTAGCTATTCTGATCATTTTTCAATGTAGCAGCTGTTAAAAATACAAAAACTTAGCTGGAACAGATGAAGAGCTCATGCTGACAAACAATCAGTAACTGTGCTAAAAACCGTATGGATGAGATATGGAAAATGGAGACAGGTTTTAACACCAAAAATCTTAGGAGTGGTTAGCCTACCTGTCAAAGCTACTTATTCAGACATGTCATTGGTGGCTTAGCCACAAAATGGACTGCACAAATATAGCTCAAATATCTTAGAATTACAGCACACTTTGACTTTATCCACATATTAGGGGAGTGGCAACTTTTACAACATACTTGCGGTTTCTGCATAAAAGAGCCAGCAGAACACAGTCACTGATTTAATTAGGCTTCATAAGATTCAATTTATCATGTTTTACATGACTTTCTGCAGCAAGGAAACATAATAAATAGACTAAAAATAGAATTGAAGCATGCTGCGAAAGCTAAATAGTGACTACAACTCCTGGGAATCTGCTCTAAGCTTTTCACAAATAGTAAACAAATGCAGTATTATATTCCACACCACATATAAAAACGTGTAGATATTGAATCAGCAGTCATGAACTCATTTGATTCTAAAAGGAAACTTCCGAATTCATGAGGCATGTCCTGCACAACAGTAAGATAACTGAACATTGATTTCAACATGCAGGCTGAAAATTATGTATACAAGTTGCTTTGTGCAAGTATGGCATATATGTTCGAGCATACAAACAGTCAAAGCCATAACACTTCAACAACCTTTAAAGAATTCTTTCCAATGATGATTAATCATTTTGGGGGGGGGGGGGAAGAGAGAAAAGCAGAATAACAAACATGGAACACTCGAATGTTACTAATATTGCCACTGTCTGGACTTAAAGTATCAACCATTACCAGCAACAAGCTACATCATCGCCGCCGTTATCATCATCATTATTATTATTCTAAAAGGGAACATTCTTGGCTAAGAAAAACGCTAAGGGACGTTACTTAAGATAGCAAGCACACCATTGTGCCAGACAATGGCCAAGGCTGCACGACTCTGATGTGCAAAGCCTGTATTAAAGTCGATGTGTGCCAACAGCAGCGGCTGTTGCTGGAAATGCAAGCTCCAGACCTCCTCCTGGAGCGACATCTACAACACACAGAGTGTGCCACTGACGCTGAACTCCTCCATACGTGTTTGCTCTGAATTTGCATGCCATCCCATTTACATTGCACATAAGATTACTCGTACGTATATAGATTCTTCATACAATTTCCTGTGTGACTAGAGAGTTGAAAGAACACAAAAACGGGAGAAACCACACCACCCTCTAATCTCTGTTGCCATGGCAGCAGCCTTTGAGATACTGAAATGTTCAGATTGCCAGCTAAACAAAATTGTTGAATGTGAACATTTGGCTGAGAGATTAAAAGGCTAAGGGGGTTGCAAAAGGGCAGTACCTCCCACATTCCAGGCAGCCACTGAATCCAATCAAATGGCTCTGACTCTTTAACCACAGCCATTGTGAAGACCGGATTAGGGCAATTTATCTAGATAGTTAAAACAGATTAGAGAACTGCAATTTGAAGACTATTGGCAACAGAAGTAAATGCCTACTGTACTAAGTTAATAAAGAGACCATGAGATTTTTGGACACCTTTCTGCCGTGAACAGCACTTTTCAGAAATCAAAATGCAAACATACACACATGAATTACACAGCAATCTGGTTTTCTCATCTGCATTTAGACAAGGTCATAAGGCTCATTCAAATTCATCCATAGATATGCTATCTTAAAAGCAATAATATGCATACAATATGAAATTTAATTTGTTCCTTGCCTTGAACAGAATCCCTTGGAATTATGTTCCAATACTAACCAAATATCTGATATCACAAACACACAAATCTAATCCACCAGTCGACTTAGTATTACAGAAGCTTCATGACTGAAATACAAAAAACTGGTAGCCAGTCATAAGAAGACAGAACTCCTGACTCCCTGAGACCTTCAGCCCTCCCAGACACTTGCAGTCCATACAGTTAACACCGACCTGAAAGTTTCCCCATTTCTGAACATTCACTCGGGGAAGTTGAAAAAGCAGGTCATTTAGGACCAACAGCTGACAAGACAGTCACAATCTAACACCCTGAGATTGTTCATTTGGAGGGTGTTGGTTTGCTTTGGCTTTCCGGCAGACCAGGTTCTCTTTGTTTAACAACCTGTAGAATTTGCCGTACTTGTAATCCTGGGCCAACACTCGCCCTCTGGAGCCCCAGAAGATGGCTTCTGCCCTAGGGACAGAACTCCCACCAACACCAGAACATCCTTGAACCAGCAGTTGACAAAAGACAACAAGGTTTCCCCTCCACCTTTCCCGAAGAATAGAGTAGCAGCCATCTATTCATCTAATCATACAGAAAGCATCCTTGTAGTAGAAAAGAATAAAACCACACACTCCCATCTGATTTTTTTCACACATTTCAACCGCCCAACAAACAAGCAATTCAAATCCAAGAGCCAGCATGGCTCAGAGAGGAAAACTCCCCCAGACAGGAGAAAAACTGCTCCACTCTGCTCCAAAAGCTGTTTTGCACACACCATTCTCATCACAAGGTGCATTTCCCTCCTCCCAGCATCCTCCTTCCAGGAAGACAAGAGGCACTGCCTGTCTGCTGGCTCCTTCCTCCCAGTCGCTACAGCAGCTTCTGGGGCCTCTAGGCTACAGTGCCACGGAAGCCCCCAGCACAAAAAGCATCCTGCGTCTCCACGAAGCACAGCGGCGGAGCCCCGGTCTCTGCCGATAGCTCCCATTTCCTCCCCCAAATGCAGTCTCAGCTCTAGGCAGTGGGTCAGAGAAGGGAGAAGGGTTCCTTTACACTTTGGGAGAGGAATGGACACAAATGCCTGCAGATGTTGTGGAAGAGAATCAGCACATACAAGACCTGCTGTGCCAGGAGCCTGATCTATTCACACCAGCCTGCGAACACATGCCATCCCACTGGTATTGCCGCTCTCTGCTAAAACTGGGGACAGCTCAGTCAGGGTCATCTCTGCGTTCCTCCTTCTGGGCAAGTGCAATTAAAACGAACAGACAAAACAGAAACGTTCTCCAGGTCTGACGACAGGGAGAAGAAATCACAAGGAAGAGTAGCACGCTGGAAACATGGGATCTTCCACATAGGAAAGAGGTCGCTGGGTTGTTTTTTGTTTGTTTGTTTTGTTGTGGTTTTGGGGTTTTTTTGGTTTTTTTGTTTTGTTTTTTTTTTTAAGGGAAGGAGGAAGGACATACGCATGTCACAAATACACAGCAGAGAGGACAAAAGAGCCAGACATACAGTCATGGGACACTCATGGGACACTTAATATAGACATGGGGAAACACAGAGGAGGTGGAGAGGAGCTTTGTCCTACCTTTTCTGTTTTCAATTTCTTGATTCGCCTGTGGCTCTCCTCCTCCTCCTCTTCCTTCTTTACCAAAACAGAGTTCCCCATTAACCCTGAATCCGGGGTACTTTTGCTCACCTCCCCCACAGCAGAGGAGGTGCAGTGGAAGGGGCTGCTGCTTCCACCACTGCCTCCCTTGGCCCCGAAGCCATAGAGATGCCCAGAGGGAATTTGGCTATTGCCACCCCCACTGCCATTGGGGTGGCCCTGCTGCAGATCATGTTGCTTGTCCTTCCTGGATTTTCCTGCATCCTTATCCCTCTTGGAGCCTCTGCTGCCTGGGGCTTTACCTGGTTTCTCCTCTTTGTTTTTCCCACAAGAGGACACGGTGGTAGTGTTGCTGGTGTTGTTATTATTGCCGTTTGGGTTACTGCTCACACTTTGACCCAGTGCTGAATTCATGCCAGTTGCCTCTCCAGGGCGCCCTTGGACTTCCTGCCTTTTGCCAGCACTGCTGATCTCAGGAATCCCATACAAGGCAGCAGAAGGCAGAGATTTATTAGCATCCTTAGAAGTTTTACTCCTTTTCACTTTTGATTTGCTAGTCTCTTTGTGAGAGGAATTCCCCTGGGGAGCAGAGGGTTGAACAGAAGCGAATTTTAGGCCATCAGCTAAGGCTGAGGTAGCATTAGCCCCACTGGAAGCCAGACCCCCGCAATCCTTGGAGCTGGTGTTGCTGCTGCTGGTGGTATTAGAATTATTCATCTCAAATTTCTGTCTGTCCTTCTCTAAGTCGGCGTCCAAATCAATTATTAAATTCCCGACGCCGATTTCCCAATCATCGCCACTGTCATAAGTGTCAACTGCGTTTGGATCCACACCTTTTCCTGCAGTGGAAGTGTTCAATGACATCCTGAAGATGAGATCTCTAGAGTAAAAATCCGATGAACTTTCCTTTGGAGATGTGGGGACATTCGTTTATCTCCGTTGGGCTCTCTCTTAAGTTCAACTCTTCTTGTCTTCCTCCCCTAGGTGTGTCTAGGCTCACAACCTGCAGTCCACATCCACGTTGTCCTGTGAGGAGGGAAAAAGTCAAGTATTTCCTGTCTGGGTGTTACCACAATATAACGTCACTCAGTAAAGAGGGGGCAAGGTAGGGGGGAGCGAAAACATTCACCATTGCCACGTTCTTAAGTTAAGCCAGAGGCAGTGGCTATGGTGTTTTCCTAATGAGCACTTTTAATCTAGTTGTATACCAATATCCACAACTTCTCTTAAAAACCCATGTCCATAAAAAAGAAGGGGAAAAAGAAAAAAAAGAGAAAAAAAAAAAAAAGGAACAAAAATTATCTACATTATTTAAATCCACAAAGTTCAGGAAATACAGTCATAGACGTGGTGCCTTGCTGTTGGAGCACATGTTGTAATCTAACCCGTTGGACCACCACCTAGGCACGAAAAGGAGAAAAGGAAGGACACGGATTCACTCTTCACTGCATTCCATGGATTTTGTGGCTTTAAACCAGACCCTTGAAGTTTTGTGAGTCTCCTGTATTATCTTTTACCCCCCCTTCCACTTAATCTCTTGGGTGGGTGGGGGAGGAGAGTGCTAAGGGAAGTGGGAAACCTCATTTTCCCTGCCACAATACATCTTCTGTTAAAAACAACAACCTACAAACTCAAATGTTTACTGGAAAATATTAAAGTCCATAAGTTAAAATAATAACAAAAAAAAAGGTGAGAAGAAATAAAAATTCTTTTTCTTAAAAAAAAAAAATCCTTAAGATAACAGTTCTAAAAGCAGCTCTAATGTATTCCTAGGTCACACAATTGTTAGGTCTGTTAAATATAGTATTACTGACTGTACAGGAAACTGATTAAGACATACACTTTAAGTGATCTGCACCAAGGTGGCCTCAGTGACCGCAAATGAGTGTGTGTTTGACAAAGCTTAGTTAAAACGATTTTTAAAGGGATCTCTCCCTTTTACAGTCGACTGCCGAAATATTTATACATATATATGCATAATGCTTACCTTTAATCCTTTATCATTTTTAATTAAACCAGCAAATCAAAATGCTGTTCCCACTCGTCTCAGCAACAACTCTGTGCCTCATTTTACTTAAAGAGCAAGTGATCATGAAGTAGAAAGCAAGTATCATCTCAGCCAGTATAAATCGGTCAATAACATATCTCCCCCTACTTTGGCACACGAATCAGAAGTCCTTTTTTTGTTTGTTTGTTTAGGTTTTTTCGTCCTTCCTTAAGGAAAAAAAATAAAAGAACAAAGCAAAAAGAGAAAAAAAAAAATGCTGTGCCTCACAACTTTACGAGCTGGGAGGTAATATTTCACATTCAGAAGTGAAGCATCAAGGACAAGATTTTTTGTTTGCTTTTCCTGAATAAGCACCGAGAGGTAATAATCATCACAGTAATATTTTTTTAAAAAGGAAAAAAAAAAAAAATTTAAAAACAAAGAAAGAAAGAAAGAAAGAAAAAAAAAATGTTTCCCCAACTTCACACTCCGTCTTCAGCCCCGGACCTAGGAGCCATCCCGATCAGTAAGTAATGATCCCACGAAACAAACCTACAGGCGCCCGGGTGTTACAAGACAGAATGTGCTAACATCGGGATAAATTAGTGAAAGGGAGGAAGGAAAAAAAGAAGAAAGGACTGAAAATCTGGGCTGGATTCCGCCTGTTAGTTGGGAAGTGGCATTTTTTTCGCCCGTCCTGACAGATCTGATTTCTTGAAGTAACTTGAGGGGANCTCCCCGGGAGGCGCCTTTACCTCAGGGCTTTCGCTTCCCTGCGCCTCGGGGCCGGCAGAACGAGACGGCGGTGGAAGCGGCCGAGGCATCAGCCGGCGACGGACGATCCCACCCCCGCCCCCCAGCTCCAGCCTTTCTGGTGTCTCGGTGTGACACATGCGAGGTGCCTCCCGGTCTGTCGGTGCCCCATCGCTCCTGCTAACGAGCGCTATCGGGGCCGGGGAGGGGGGGAGCGGGGAAGCAATGCAGACTTGGCTGTAATCGTGTCACTTTTATCCCCTCCTCCCCCCGCCCTGGGTTAGTTAAAACCCAAAAAAGGCACTACGCTTTAACGCCCCCCAAGTACCCCGTCAAGTATGATTTGTGTGGCTACAGTGCTTTCACCCTCTTACTTCCCTCAAATAACTCACCCTGTTTTGTGAGATTGTTTGGGGGCTCTTTTTTCCTCCTTTAAAAATCCCCAAGAACCCTAGTTATCTCAACTCCCAAAACTCTTTAACACTCCCGTTTGCAGAGAAAAAAATAAAAAAATCCCCTCTAAGTGCTATAGACACACCACGCAACCGTACTTACGGTCTGTATTGGATCGAGTTGACCTTTTCCTTCTAACTGCATTGAGTGTGTTTTTGTTGCAGCCGCTTTTTATTTTAGGAAAAAAAATTCTAATGTCTTCAACAGATTTATTGTGTTTGGAGGAAGAGAGCACCAGGTATCATGAACCTTCCTTTCTTTCTAGAAATAAAACAACGACAAAAAGAGAGAGAGAAAAAAAAAAAAGAAACCAAAATAAAATAAAAATAAGAACTGGGCAGAGAAGGCAAACCCGGCATGTGTGTCTGTCCCCTCACAGGCTGACACACAGGCACAGGGGACAGGGGCGCTGCCCCCACGGCAGCGGCCGAGGCGGGGGAGTGGGAGCCTCGCTCCGCGCGGTACCTGAGAGGGACTTTTCTTTGTTCGCGATGCCCTTTCCCTGCCGGCCAATCAGCGCCCAGCTTTTATGAAACCGGGCCCTGCGATTGGCCC